TGAACTTTTCAATCTAAGGAATAGGTAAACTAGCGATCGTTTTCCGGGAATGCTGTCTAAAATAAGATCTAGCCCCATTTAACGGAGTATTTCACCCTTTAAAAACCACGATATATTTTTGTTTCATGTGTATCACCAGACTGTTTTAAAAAAATATATATATATAATACTAGTTCTAATGTACCGTAGGCCCAACCATGAAATATGGGAATGGGAGGGTGGGGTTGAATTTGAAAAAAAAAAATTGCCGAACAAAAAAGTATTGTATGAGGATAATTTTACCGTATTTGTTTAGTACAGGGAAGGAAAACTGAATTAATAAGTCTCATCTTGTACGTTTTTACTGTTGTGGGAGGAAGAGAAGGATAACTCCCCACACACCCGAAACGGGAGAGGGGGGGGGGGGGGAGAACGTGGCCTATTGTGCCCCCTCCCCCCAGGATACGAATTTACGGGTATATTTTACGCCAAGAATTAGCCTCGTTCCTTCTTGTGTTTAAATATTTCTGATTGATTATTTAATTATAATATAATTTTCTGAAGCAGGGATGTGAGGCATCTTTTATACAGCAGACTTCACATAACACAGACACTTTGGGGCTAGAAAATGATTCAGTTACGGAAACATTTGAGTTAAGAAATGTTCGCAAGCTACAAGTGCTCAACTAAAACCAAAGGAAAAAAATACGTTCAACAAGATTTGCTCAAGATAAACAATCATTGAGATTAAAATTTCAAAAAGGGTCGCGTCATGTTGAATCTTTTGTACCTACAATATACATGAAAGACAACTTGAATAATAATTTCAAACGAATATTAGCATTAAACTTTTTTTTTATTTCTGTCATGTATGCACATCATTTACCATTACAACTTCGAATTTATTTTGACACGGTTTTAACAATTTCAAAACTGTCAAAAGAATAAAGACAGCAAACAATGTAGCAGCAGTGCTCTTCTCAGGCGCATCAACCACTACAGTTGCTGCCTTATATACAAACACGAATAGTCGTTTAATTAGAACACGTTCTCTCTTCTTTTATATTTCGCAGCACTCGCTAGATGGCGCTGCTATCAGCACTCGCTAGATGGCGCTGCTATCAACATGGCGCCTGGTAAGCACACGGCAAACTATTAGTGCTGCCACCGTATGCATTTTCGTGAAAACCGTTCTCGAACATAACGTCACTATCGAAGTAAAGAACAGTGTCGTCTGCAACAATTGCATAAGCCACCATTTCAAACCGTTCTCCAGCACGTCCCTAAATACTACTTCCATTTCTCCCGCAGTGAAAATAGTCACAGTAACAGTAATCGCCCGTACATTTCATGCACCTAACAAATTCTGACAGAATATCTTAACAAACTTTCAGCGTCTCATTTTAAGTTATTAACGGACACATAATTCCTTACGTGAGCATTGTTCATTTTACTAAAAGTCTGACCCAACTTATTCAGGTATTATAAGCACTACCCACAGTTATGGCAAAACTTTGACAGCTACTTGCTTCTCATCAATCACCAAGCACTTGTGAAGCCAGACAGGCGTTTTAGGTGAAACTTATGCAGGTCCTTCAGTCAGCACGCCTGTAATACCTGACGAGTTTCCAAATTTTCTGTAAATTAATTTTTGTTTGAAATGAACGAGTAATACCAGTAACTGTAACAATAATGGCATCAGTGGTGAAATATTGTCACGTGTCCAACAGAGTTTTATTATTATTTTTCTACACAATCATAACATTCCTCTGGTGAGTATTCCCACTGGTTGCTTCAACCCCTCCACTGTGATGCCTTGCTGGGTCCAGTATCTCTTACTAATCTCCACCAAACTCTGAAATTAGAACAAACAAGGGAACAATGTATTAATTTGAAAAGTTGCTGCAGTTCTTTAAACCACCAAATGGTAATTTGAAATTTTGCCTCACCCAACAAGCTCAGTCCAATTCTTCAATTTCTAACTGACCAATTTTTCTAATAATAGTAGTTATACTTATAATTTATAGTCTAAATTCGGTTATAAAATCTTTATGAAACGTTAAAAGTATTAAAATAGAATGTCAAATAAATCAATATTGAGACTGTTTAATAAGAAGAACTAACAAAAGTCAAATGCTATCATTTAAAATGACAAGAGGTTTGCATAAAGGTCTGTCTAAAAAGATACCATTCATTTCTTTTATTGTTGTATTTCTAATTATCTAAAACTGTACTTAGGATTTAGATTGTGTCCTGAACAATTTCCTGGTATTTTCTAAACATCATTTCATGAAACTCCAACTCAGAAAAAAACAAAATATATGCCCTTTTCAAGACCACCTGTTTGCTTATCTTTATGTACTGAAGTGAATGCCAGTTGCATTCCTTTCATTTTCCTTTAGTATAAATATGCAATTGTTGCACAGGGTCATTAATTTATACACAAACAGGGTCTGTTGGGACTACAGGCATAATTTCAGGCTATCAACACAGAAAATATGTGAGTTCTTGACCACAAAATTTTGTGGCTGTCCATTTTATCTTCACTTTACAAACCTCAAAGGTCCTGGGTTCGTAAACAGCCAGCGTGACTAACATGTTTCTGTCCAAGTGTATGTTTAACTAAAATGGAAAAAAAAATTATATATACAAGTATGTGGTTTGCAGATAAAGAGTTATTTGTTACAACTTATTTGTTACAATTATTAATGTTTGCACCAGTATTTGTATTGAAATTGCCAGGGTGTGCTATGCTAAATACCATTCACAGAATTAACATCCACAAACTTTTTTTAGATCTAAGTTTCTAGTTTTTGAGGCACTCTCATCACAAAGAAGGAGAAAATAAAGAGAGGAAAAGCAGGTTTACAGCTTATAATTCTTTCAATGGTATAACATGGTGCTAATTTAAGAGTGATTATTGCTAAAAAATCCAGGAAAATAATTATCTTTAATGTGTTATTATTATTATTATTATTATTATTATTATTATTATTATCAGGTTTACAATGGGCTAACTTGTGTTGCATGCCTGTAAGCTATTTTACTAAATCAAAACTTATGTCCAAGTGTGGTTATAAAATGTACCCTTGAAAGTGCCTCGAAGAAGTCCTTAGCTCCAATCCCGTGTTCAATGCATGCTGCGTTAAGACGAATGTGCCACAGCTGAAACCACAGAAACAACATGTTCAGTTACTGAATCCAACAGAGAAGAAAATTATAATGAATTATTGAATTTATTGTGACAACTGATTCAAATGTTGCTGTGACAGAAACAACGAATTTTCATTAATAAACCATCAACATGTTGAATTCACAGAAACAATTGTATAAATTTAAAATCAAAATGCTGCATTCTCAGAACCGTCTCACAGTGCATTCTAAGAAACAGCTTATCAAAATACCTCAATCACAGCTGCATTGACAAACGCAGCTCATTACAATGCTCAATTCAGAGTAACAATGACCTTGAAAATCTGTATTCAAAGCCAAACCTTACAATAAGAAAAAAGAAGTCTAATGCCTATGCTTTAATTACCTGTCGCATGACCTTCTTTTTGTCCCGTCGCCCTCTCATGGCGTGCTGTAGAGCCTTCTGTGCATACCTCACTGCGATGGTGTAACAATTTCTCTTGCGACCAAAGTAATGCTGGAAGGAAAACATAAGTTAATGACTGCGTGGTTGACACTTGCCTCAGTTTTAGCATGTCTGTGGTGCCGTTAACATGCACATTACACCACAATGTGACTTAACCCAGTCCAAGACACTAGTAAAAATGAATCTAATAGAGGAGACAGGATTGTGCCGGAAGTGACGTGTAGTGGCTGGGGTAGCCCTAACACTCGCCAGTTTAGCCAAATGATAAAACTGACTTAAATTGGCTTAAGAAAAAGGGCTTGATTTGACATGTTTTAGCCAAATTATAACCATTTTGATAACAAATTGACAAAAATGTGGTGATTTGGCTCAGCAAAAAAAAAATTCCTAGCGCTACCCCAGAGTGGTGTGTAATAGGTGCATAACTGTGACATTAAATGTGCTGGACATATAATATAACCATCCATAAAACTTAATCCTGTCTCCTCCAGTTCATTTTATTGCAAGTAAACACAGGTAATAGTCATGCGCAAGAAAACAGGACAATGTAAACGTGAAATATATTACTAAGAAATAAATATTGTTGATACAACTTAAAAAATTGGCAAGGCTTGTTTCTGGTTGAGTCATCTGCCATGTTGGTGAGTGGCTCTTCTTGAGAATATGATCTGACGTTAAAAACAAATAGTTCCAATTTGCATCAACAACATTTATTATCTTTGAAATATATAATATTTCCCTTTCATATCACCCCATTTCCCAGGGAATGACCGTCGTTTCCTATGTTTTCTTGGGAGTGTACTGGTGTTTTCTAGTGGATTGTGCTGTATTGCGCATTTTTGGTAGACCTTTTTGCATTAAAAATTGAAAACTGAGGCAAGGATGGCACAACTAGTGCCAAAAATATTAAATATCCCCCTCCCCCCCCCAAAAAAAAAATAATAACAATAATAAATAAATAAATAAATAAATAAATAAATAAATAATACTTTCAAAAGGTCGACAGGAAGACTTGCACTTTGACAGTTTGAAGCAATGTAAACAAATTAACTTATTTCTTAACTTGAAGCCTCGTGTCTATGTTTATCACTCGGGCAACGCGCAAAGTAACTTACCGCCGTAAGTCTAAAGATTTGCTGCCTTCCCCAGTATTTGTCTGCATGCCGAGATCTTCCCAAACAGCTGGCAGTAATGTGAACCATGATTATGGGCACCGAGGTGGACTCAGGGCCAAAGAATCTTTAAATAAATTTGTCTGTAATCAACTCGGGAGCAACCAAGGGCGCTGACATTATTTTATTGCATTGTGGGAAATCTGTTAATAAATATCCAAGTTGCTTCTTCAGACCAAAACTATAAACTAAACATCAAGGATTATGAAAATATAGAACAGCAAATTTTTAAAGAAAAAAAATCTAAATTATTTAAATCAGACTCGTTTCACGTCACATTACCAGTCACGTGACTTAAAGTGTCTACTGCTCTAACAACATGGCCGAGGGAAAGTGAGTATTAAAACTTCCTTGTAAATTTTAACTGTTTTATGTCGTTTCTGATTGTTATATCTAGGTGACAACTGAGTAATGAAGTGATCAGACACGTTTTTATGTCCCTGAAACGTCCAGTTTGCTTATGCTGATGTCGTGGAGTTAGAATATTAAATCGCCAGCATTGCATTCCTCGTTCGTTTCCACCGGCGAGGTGAGTTAGGGGTCAAGTTGAAGATTTGTCGAGCACAGTCCGTGTGTTTGCAGTGCGTGATATTGCTATTTGTTTGTTTTATGAGTGTTAACAATACCTTAGTTGCTGAGACTTTTCAGCTAGCGAGTTTTTTTAGCAAGAGATGGAACAATCCTGTCGTTTATAATTGCTGAATCACGATTCCTTTACTAGTGTACATGTATCCTGTAGCATATTACTGCAGTACCAGAGCATAATTTAACTGAACTTTATTTATGGATTGTCATTAACATTTTACAGAGAGTTTATCATACCGTGCCATCAGCAAATATTCCATTAAGATATAGATAATTTATTAGTGAATCTTCCTATGGCTAGAATGCATGAATACTATAGGTATACATGTACTAGTAGCTGGTCATTTTTTTTTCAAAGTCTGTGGTGAGGCAGATTTTCAGCTAAGGGTAATCTGTGAATGGGCCACACAAGTAATTATAAATACACATGTCCACTAGCAAGTTTTATATCCAAGAACACCACCCAACTTGATTGAGCAAATTTTCTATCTTGTCGCACAATTGAGATGTTGTATTGGCAACAAAGAAGGCACTGGTGTGTGTAATTACTATATGGACATTATGCTTGAAATCATGCCTTAGAATTAGTATTTCACATTCAGATAACTTGATGAAATTTTTGATCTCCTTTCAGTTAGAGAGGCTGAGAGGAATCTTGTATCCTAGTTGTGATTTGATGCTTTTATTTGTGCCACTTTGTGTCAGGAGTGTAACACAATACTTTTGTACATATTCCAAATCCGTGGTATCACATCTGTGTGGTTTTATTGGCAAACACAATATGTGTGTTACTTCTGTGTAAGTAGTAAGTCACGACTGCACTCAGTGGTAAAATGAAAAGTGGACAGGGAATTCACAAAGAGCCAGGGCCCTGTTTCAGCCTTTACTACAGGAGTAAACTCAGGCCTGTAGTGAGGGGGGGGGGGGTTCATTGGGTTGGAAATAACCCCCCTTATTGCTAAGAAAATGCCCCCTCTGGGTATGATTTTATTAAAGTACTAGTACCTGAAGGTTTCATGGTAAAAGGTCAACTTTTTCAGAAAAAGCCCCCCCTCCCCCCCCCCCTTTGAAATTGGTGGCTAAGTGCCCGAAACTAGTAGACTTCATCACTGGTGGGGGTGGGGGGGTGGAGGTTACCTACTGTAGTGGCACCAGAGGTTATGTTTTGATCACTGTAGCCTGCCAGATCCTAGACATTGATGCAATATTCAGAATTCCTTTTAGGTTTACAATTTACAGTAGCTTTGTATTTAAGTAAGCTGAGATTTGATAGCACCCCCACATACATAAAGTGATCCGAGACACATTATACTGTATACATGTACTATTACTCTCTCACCCCAACTAGTATGCAGAAATACTAGGCTCTCTAGAAATAAGTGTCACAAACTGATATTTTTTTTTCACAAGATATTCACAGATATTTCTCTGGCTAACCTGTGCACATTTCTGTCCAATGAAAAGATTTGCTCAGAGCAAATAAAATTTTTCCTGGCTGCCAGCTGGTAAATTTATAAACAAACACTAATCCAACCCCTTTGATGAATGGTCTCCATCATTTTTTCAGGAGTTCTATACTAGTATTTTATTTATTTATTTATTTATTCATTAGACAATTACAACTTTACACAGAAGTATCAACTTAAGGAAATCATGCCTCATTTTGTATCAAATTAAGAATTGTTTTCCTGATTCTTGTCATGCATGATGTGATATTCAGAACGGGCTTCTAAATTTATTATTATTATTATTATTATTATTATTATTTCAGAGCAGATATAGCCTTGATTGGGCTGGCCGTCATGGGCCAGAACCTTATCCTTAACATGAATGACCATGGATTTGTAGTAAGTTATATTGTTAAATTATTGTCTTTTTGTTAGGATAAGGTTATAGATTGTGAAATCATAAATGCAGTTATCCTATTTTTCAAAGTGCCAGCCGTGGGATAATAAGTAGTACCAAAACTTATTTTGATATTCATTTAAACTCCTCGCTAGGTGTGTGCATTCAACAGAACAGTGGAGAAAGTTGATACTTTTCTGGCCAATGAAGCTAAAGGTACTAAAGTGATAGGAGCGAAGAGTTTGGAAGAAATGGTGAAGACGTTGAAGAAACCGCGCCGCGTCATGATGCTGGTGAAAGCTGGGTCGGCAGTGGATGCCTTCATTGAGAAGCTGGTCAGTACAGTTAGTGGGAGGTTAGGTTGTTACTAGTACACATACATCATACACAAAAAGAAAAAAAAAACCTTGAAATATCAACGTTTTCCTTTGAACACCAAGGCATACCCTTTCCAAAATTAAAATGAGTATCTCAAAACTTGATTTAAGTTCTTGATTTAAGTCAGAGGGGGAGCACCACTGTCCATCTTCATTTAAATTTGTGATAAGTGTATTGCTGAGTTTTTTTTTTTTTTTATTTGATTTATTATTTTTTTAAGAGTTCTGCAATAGAGTACTAAATAGCATATAATGAAGAGGAAATTGCTGATATTAAAGCAGATTATATAGATAAAGAGGAATGGTTGACTTTACTGCATGCTTTTAAAGTTTCCCTTACACACACGATAGGTACCAGTATATCCAAAACTGTTGAGAAAATAATTAATTATATAAGTGTCAATATTTCAGGTACCGTTACTGGAGTCTGGAGACATCATCATAGACGGAGGAAACTCAGAATACACTGACACAAATGTGAGTTTGACTTTTTGAAAAAATTAAATAAGATAAATTTAAAGTCATCAGGATACAGGATGTGTATCATAACATTTCTTTTTTTTACATTAACTGTATTTCCTCAAGCATACTTTTCCTTCTGGCCCAATTTACAGTACATTTAAGCAAAGTGTATATAAGACACACCATTGTCTATGTAGAGAGGGTAAAAATGTGTATTCATATGTGTATTTTCAAGAAATGTTTTTCTTTAATTTATTTATCTATTCATCATCATTATTTTTTTTTCTTTGCTCAGAGGAGGTGTCGCAGCCTCAAAGAGAAGGGAATCTTATTCGTGGGCAGTGGTGTCAGCGGTGGGGAAGATGGCGCCAGATATGGTCCTTCCCTAATGCCAGGGGGCGCGCCAGAGGCTTGGTAAGATGTGAAACCATATTGGGTTTTTAGCTAAGTATCAAGACAAAGTCAACAAGAGTGAAGTTATTTTTTTTCTTTAACAATATTCTTGTATTCATTTAATTATTTGTTAATTGGGTTTTTGTTTCTTTGGCAAGAGGGGGTCAGCTAATCTTTTACAGTGTAGTTATTTCCTGCTTGTGGAAGGTGAACAGTTGCATGATTTCCAAAAACTCTAGGTGAGCCCAATTCAGAAAACGAGCATACTATAAATGATATAAAATATTTCCAGTTATCATGAAGTTGTTTATATTATCCCAGTATTTATTTATCTTATTTTATTTTATTCCAGGCCTCACATCAAGCCTATCTTCCAGTCCATTGCAGCTAAAACAAATGGAGAGCCTTGTTGTGATTGGGTAGAAGTTGTTTTTTTTTTCTGTTTTCTTTTTTTTCTTTGTAATTCTTTAAGATGTATGCTTTGTGTCTCAAAGTACATCTATATACATGACGAAACTGACAAATTCTTGAAAAAGTAGTATGAAAGAATAAGAGAGGTGTATTAAATCTTGAAAAAGTTGAATTTAAGAATAAGAGAGGTGTTTAATTTCTTGAAAAAGTAAAATTAAAGAATAAGAGAGGTGTTTGAATTTTTGAAAAAGTAAATTTAAGAATAAGAGAGGCATTTAATTTCTTGAAAAAGTAAAATTAAAGAATGAGAGACTCCAAAGTGTTTGACACAATTTAATAAGTAATTGTTATACACATGTCTGTTCTAGGTAGGAGAGGAGGGCGCCGGTCACTTTGTAAAGATGGTCCACAACGGGATAGAATACGGGGACATGCAGTTAATTTGTGAGGCGTATCACCTGATGAAGGATGTCTTAGGGATGAGTCACAATGAAATGGCTCAGGTGAGAGATACATAAGAGATACATGTAGCACCTTGTCTTCTGGAATCTTTTGAAAAATTAAAATTTTGGATAAATGTGGACTTAACTGTACATGTTGGTCTTATAAGAATATTTTTTCTTCATGTGATGAAGTGTCTGGTTTATTTTTTACTTCGGGATTTTGGGTGTGGTTAACTCTTTAAAAAAATCACTAAATTGTGATTGGTCTATTTTTTGGTCAGATTGCAACCTTTTATATTGATTTATTTTATGTATTGAAATTGATGATAACCTTTTTTTTTTTCTTTTTTTTCAGTCATTTGATGATTGGAACAAGGGTGAACTTGAGTCTTTCTTGATAGAAATCACCAGAGATATTATGAACTTCAGAGATGAGAGAGGGGAGGTCTTGGTAGAGAAGATACTGGATTCTGCAGGACAGGTAATAAACTGTTTTGAAACTGCACGACCTTACAAAGAAAAAAAAAAGAGGTGAAAAAAATGTAAGGTGGAAAGTTTTCTTTTCTAGTTGCAGTGATTATACGGTCTTTTCAGTGGAAATTGTGAATTTTACAGATACTTTATGTATTAAGTCAAAATTTCTTAAAATTAGAACATTCTGTTGAGATGGTAGGAGGAAAATTAAAAGGCAGAATAACCTAAAGTGTTGTTCTGTGCAGTGAAAGCACCATCAATGCTATATAGAAATGTTATTTTATGATTAAGAAATTTATGTATCTGCAAGTTTGATCATTTTTGCCAATCAAAAAGGTCAAGTAATTACCGAATGTTTGACATATATTTTTGGTCTTCACTGGTCCACTAACTGTGGGTGTGTAATACACTGATTAAAAATTTAAATGTCCCATATGAATTATATAACATGTAATGGGTGACTCCCAATGAGCTGATGTTGTCTTATAAATTGTAGCACATTGAACAGCAAAATTCACTTAGTATCATTTAATTTATGTATGATCCATAATGCTGATAAAAAAATTCAGGTACTTGGTATTGCATGGGGTATTTATGTATTTGAACAGTGTATTATAGCCATGTCTTTTAAGAGAAGTGCACATGCACAGATGAAGACGGGAGTATAATTTTTTTTTGCTGTTTGTAAACTTTTGTGACTAAAATGAAACAGTTATAGAATATGATTCATTATTTTAATTGAACTGTTCCAGAAAGGCACAGGAAAGTGGACGGCTATTTCAGCTCTGGAGTACGGAATGCCGGTCACTCTGATAGGTCAGTAAAGTCAGAGGTTTTGAAATGGGCTACTTATACACTTATGAATTGAGTAACCATCAGTGCTGGAATTTTGGCTTGTGACCTTAACAAGCAATTATGGTTCAACCTCAGCGGTTTTAAAAGTTTGCAACAAATTCAGATGGAGTTTTTAATCAATTTTTTAATGCTGTGTATCTATACACTTTTGACTTCCACCAATTTGTTGATTTCCAGGAGAGTCTGTGTTTGCGCGCTGTTTGTCATCCCTGAAGGAGGAGAGGGTGGCAGCCAGTAAAGTACTGAAGGGACCAGCCTCCACCAAATATACTGGAGACAAGAGAGAGTTTGTGAATCACATCAGAAAAGTGAGTTCATGAAAGGATCAGGGTTCAAATACTAAGATAACTTCAAAATACTAATTCTTTTACTGTATCTTACATTGGAGATCACAACATTTTGACCATATCATGACATCCTCCTCAGGTGAGATGGTTTTGAGTTGTCAACAGTGTCATATGGTTTGGTCTTCAAAAACTTTTTTTTTTTTTTTTTTTTGGTAAAAATTTGAACCCATCAAAATTTGTAAGAATGATTTAGAAATAGGAATGAAATAAAAGAACAAAAAACATTTTCAAACAGATAAAAGTGAAGAAAAAAGTTTTTTTACTTGTGTGAGTTTAATGAAAAATTTGTTGAACATTAAACATGAATTTTAAATCAAAATTATAACATGTTTCCTTGTATTCCAGGCCTTGTATGCTTCCAAAATCATCTCCTACGCTCAGGGGTTTATGCTGATGAGGGAGGCAGCCAAAAACTTTGGATGGAAGTTGAACTTTGGGGGAATAGCTCTGATGTGGAGAGGGGGGTGTATTATTAGAAGGTATGTGGACAGGGTAATTGTGTCTGGTGTGATAGTTTTAGAATGTGTTAGATGTGATTATGTTATAATTTGTGTCAGGTCTGATAGTTTTAGAATGTGTTTAGGTGTGGTAGAGTTATGAATTGTGGTTGGTAGATTTTTGGGTTGAGTTAGATATAGTTTTGATTTTCAGTTGAAATTCAATAAACTTGGTACCACGGTAGCTTAATGCTGATGATCTTCACCCTTAGGGTTAAAATCTAATTGTATACTGATAGAACTGATAACAGAATAAAGCTATAATAGCTAGAACAGAGAACTATACCAGGCCCGTAGCCAGGGGGGGGGGTTCGGGGGGTTCGAAACAACTGCCCCCTTTGCTGGGAAAAGGTCCACTCTGGGTAAAATTTGATCTAGGTACATGATGTTTTTATGGAAAAAGGTCCAGTTTTTCAGAAAACGAACCCCCCTTTTGAAATTGCTGGCTACAGGCCTGTATACTGTATCAATCCTAATTATTATTATATTCACAATTGTATAAAATTATTATTACCGTTATTATTATTATTCTATAACTGCAGTGTATTTCTGAGCAACATAAAAGAAGCTTTTGACAAGAATCCAGATCTGGTGAATCTTCTGCTGGATGATTTCTTCAAGACTGCCATCCACAACTGCCAGGTGGGTGTTGCACTAATGTTTATCTGTGTCACAATAAGGCCGTAGCCTGAGCAAAATGCCAGGGGGGGCAGTAGCGGACACGAGGGGTAGAAGCCCCCGAGGGGGGAGGGGGTGGGAGGGGGTGTCCCCCTGCCACGGTGTGGAAAAATTTTAAAAACTGTATGTATAATACTGCATTCTGGTGCATTTTAACTGTTTTATTGCTCAATCAGAAGTCAGAAATTGTGGGTTCATTTTGCCATAAGTATAGCTCCCCTAAGGATAGCTCCCTAAGGGAGGGTGAGCTTTTTGGCATGAACTGAGTTGGCTAAAAACAGTACACCTTTGTTAACAGATTGTTGAATGATTGTCTAGTGGCCATGAGTGCATTTTCTCACAGAATTGATACCAACTTTGCAATTATTTTTTATTAATTATTATTTCATTAATTATTATTTACCTTTGCGATTATTATTTATTTTTTTCTGCACCTCAAATCCCAGGGGGGGCAGCTGCCCCCCCTGGGATTTGAGGTGCAGAAGGCCCTGCACAAGAGTCACTTAATTTATAATTCATATGGAAAATATTGTTCATTTTACTTACAATTGAAAAACCACATAAATGCTTTCTGAGATCCATGTTTATCATTTATCTCAAATAAGTCTGCACAAATTGGAACTTAAATATTAAATCTGAATTTTGTTTGGTTAATGTCTCTATATGTTTGCTGGCTTTTCTGACTATTTCTTTTCTATGTCTTTCTACCTTGTACATGTGTTTTCTGTTTACAAGTTGTCATGGGTTAAGTATTACCTACAACCATCACCTTTGTGAATATCTGAGTTGAAATATATAACTATGTCATTGAATCCATAATTTTATATACATATGTACAAGTTTCAGATCTGTAAAAAGTACAGGTATTTTTGTTGAAGATCTATATGTTCACCACCCTTGCTGTCTAGATCTGTATCAATCCTGTAATGTTCTGTTTCAGGACTCGTGGCGTAAGGTGGTGTCCACAGCAGTGACCCTGGGGATTCCCACCCCGTGTTTCAGCACAGCCCTGGCTTTCTATGACGGCTACAGATCTGCCACAGTACCAGCTAATCTCATACAGGTAGGGGTGCTATCCCAGTCGGATCTGATCTTGTGGAAGGGGGGGGGGGGGTTCCCTGTTTTGCCAGGCTGAAGCACCTTGCAAGTTTATTAATTTTGTGTCAGAGGTCATGCACAGTCAATTGTGTGTCACTATTTTGCTGCATTAAGTATTTTAAGAAAAAC